TTTGAGAGCCTGGGAGGGAGAGGGAGACCCGGAGCAGCCGCGGTGTGCGAAACAGCTGATTCGCGTGCCGCTGCTCCCCCTCCCTCCCAGGTTTGAGAGCTTGGGAGGGAGGGCGAGTAGTGGTGCGCGAATCAGCTGTTTCGCGCGCCGTGGCAGCAGCAGCGGAGGTGAGCTAGGGCGGCCGGGGCACATTTTTAGGGGCAGCATTCTGGCGCCGGCCATGCCGCCCCTAAAAATGTGCCGCCCCAAGCACCAGCTTGTTTTGCTGGTGCCTAGAGCCGGCCCTGGTGCCATGCCAGTCCCTTTTGCAACTCCTTCATTTCTGTCTCCCTTAAAGTGAGAATTGTTTCCTTCTGTCTGAGCTTCCCCAGCAGAGAGTATTCCATCCTAATAGCCTTCACCGCCAATTCAGGTTGTCTTAAGTAAATACAAAATTTGAGAAAATCAAGAGAAAAATCATAATTAATATTTAATTGGAATGTAAATACAGATGGACAGCTTCTGTTTTGAAATGAAATAAAACAGACACCCTGTGTACAAATGTAAGTGAAATTTACTGGTGCACTTCCCCAGTAAGTTAGTCTTAATCATGTGCATCCTAGAGAAATACCTGATGATAGAGCCTATCAAAAGTAACAATTGAAAGTAACATTGCATATGGTTGGTCTCTCTTTCTACACTATAGAAAAAGGACAATGAGGAGCTATTAGTGTATATTTAGACCTGGATTCAGAATATGGCTTGTCCTTAGAATATGCAGCCCTTGAATCAAAGTAATGATTAATCCAGATAACTTTCTGTTAAGCACAGATGAGAGGCAGGTGCAATAACCTCTAATGGAAAATATAAAATACAAAATACTCAGCTATAAGATTTATTTTCAAATGTTATACAGCATTGAGCATATATGTAATTGCACACAAAACTATGTTAAAAGGACATTGTTAAAGTTCCACAGTCAAGCACTCAAAAGTTAGGGAAAAAATAGAATTAAGATTGCCTATTCAACCTTAAATTGGCCCCTTGTACATATAAATTATGACACAGTCATACATGATCTCCAACACAGAATCAATAGTTTTGTCTTTAGAGCAGTAAATAATGTGCAGTAAATAAGGCCTAAAGCCACACATTGAACAATGAGGATAAACAAAATATTAAATAGCTTCTCATTAACTGAGCATTGTCCATCTTGTGCACTGAATGAGGCAGTGGTCTGTGAGGAAAAAATAGTATGATGGTTTAATTAAAGACTGTATTAGGCACATGGGAGCTGAATTAAGGTTCCTTAATTCTAGTGGTTTTTTTTTACTTTTGAGCACTTGATTTTGCAATCTTAATATTCTTTTTACATAGTGTTTTGTGTGTAACTTCCTAGATTTTTAAAAAAGCAAACTGAAAACAGAAATTCTATCATGTGGCATCATTGACACCCACATGGGTCATCAGCCCGATTGGAACCTTTACACCTAGTGCACAGAGATCTGTCACTTGTGCTAACTAGTAAATGCAAGCAGTGATAGGTTATCATCCTTTATGTGGAATTGCCCTAGAGGGGGGACTGGACATGTTGCCAGTGAGTTTCACTGTGTTTACTGACTGCAGACACTTAGGAATCCTGGTATCCATTCCAAGTTGTGGAGAAGAACAGATTCTTCTGCGCTGTCCTTTCCAATTTGTCCCAGTCAAAATTCTGTCTCTTTCCCACCCCTGGCTCCTGTCCCTGTCACCACTCCTCAGGCTTCTCATCCCACCTCATTGCCCAGCATGTCCAGTTCTCAGCCTCTGGACTCTTTTTTTTGTTCCAGTCCCTATCTCCTCGCACAGTCCCCTCTATCTCCCTATCCACATTTTACTTGATTGGTCAGTGTCCATCCCCAACCCCACTTCCCAGCTCCTTGTTCAGTCTGTCTGTCTTGGTGAACACATTCCCACTTTTTCTGTCCCCAGTGCCTACCAATCAATCTCCCTCCCCAGCTTCTTGTTCAGTCTGTTTCCCCCCAACTCTTCTCCTTGTGCAACCGGTCTGTCCGCACACTAGCTCCTCATCCTATCCCAGTCTGCCCTCCTTGTGTTGGTTCCCAATCTTCATCCCCCTATCTTCTGCTACCAGTTTTTATCCCCTGCTCTCTCACTCCTCTTCTTGTCTGTCTGTCTGTCTCCTTGCCAGCCAGTACTCCCCCGCCACCAGTTCTTTATTTCATCCCAGTCTACCCCCAGTGATGTATTGGCTCCCTGTTTCACTCCCTACTCCCTGCCATCAGCCTGGAGTTAGATCTGTGCCTTCCCCCCCGGGTTCCATTTTCCAATTTACTCCCCACTACAGGTCTGGCTCTTGTCTCCTCTGTATTCAGATCAAGCAGCTTACTCCTCCACTCAGCCTGGCCTGTCGGGATGGGGTGGGAGTCAACTGAGAGTACAGGAGAGACAGTATCCCTGTTCTCTGTTTTGGACCCTGGCCCACAGTGGGACAGAACCATACCTGCATGGAAAGTCCTACTCAGTCCTGGGATGGAGCATGTTCAATATGGACAGAATCGTAAAGAAATTTAGCTGAGAAACTCTAGGGCTGTAGCCCACGAAAGCTTATGCTCTAATAAATTTGTTAGTCTCTAAGGTGCCACAAGTACTCCTGTTCTTTTTGCGGATACAGACTAACACGGCTGCTACTCTGAAACCTAGCACATCTCTGTTGAGCATGTGCAAACTGCCGTTTTTCAAAGGCTTATAATTTGGCCAAATTTGGGAGAATTTTCCTGGGCATAGGAAAAGCATATCCCTGACACAAAGGACATCTGCTAAATTTCATGTCCTTGCTCCAAAACATGGGGGCACTAAAGCTTCTCAAAGAAAAAGTTGCCAGAATTTTTTAACATGGGCAAAAAACCATTTTTCCTTAGCCTTGTTCTTGGAAATGAATGAAATTTTCCAAACAAATTTAGCCTAAGGCAGACACATGGCATGGAAAATTTCAGCCCAAACATTTGGCAAAATTCTAAATAACTGAAAACAGGGTCTTATAATGAAAAGTGTTGGGCAACCTTAAAAGTAAGTGGTACTACCAGCCCCAGTTATAATTATTTGAGTAAATATCTAATATTCTTTAGTATTCAAACCCTCAAACAAAATATATGCAATTTCTCTGAAAACTTTTTTTTGTTCTTATAAAAGTGCAAAGATGCATTTATATCTCATCCTTTTTTTTCTTTTTTAAGGTGAAGCAGAGAACATACTTGACACAGAGAATACCTTGCTAGAAATGCCAAAAGGAGCCATCACTTTTGAAAGCCTTGAAAAAGCCAGAAGAGCTCAGAGCAAGTTCTTCATAGAAAAATAAGAAGACTGTAACCACTCAGTACTTCAAAATACAAAATTATTTGTTTGTAATCATGTTGCTGACTTAAAATATGTCAAATTATTAGTTTTGAGAACACAATCTTTTTAAAATAAAATGAATTTCATTTAAAAATAGGTTTTTTTTTCAAGGCAGTGTTTTTTCTTTTTAATATTTTATGTATTTACTGCAAATATTTTAATTTCAGTAGTTCTTGTTTATCCCCTAGTATGAAACATCATGAATCCCTGCTCTTTAATTCTAACTTTATTATTACTTAGTTTGAAAATACCTCTTTCCTCTATAACCAGGGGTTAAGGAACTGGCCTATCGATTATAGCGACATTTTTTTTTTTTCAAATTTAAGTACCTACAACTGTATTTAGGCACCTGTACTAAACATGGACTACGTTTTCAGGCATGCTAGAGCACCAACAGCTCAAACTGACATCAATGGGAACTGTAAATCAGGCCACTCTTTCTAGCTGCTGCATTAGAGGAATCCAAGTTTGCCAGATTTGCTTCAAATTTTAGTATAAAAACTTTCATCAAAGTTCAGAAATACAGGTATCACTAGTTAACAGTGGATATGTCAACACAGCAAAAACTGTGCAGCTATCTTGAATCCAGCTACTGTGGGTAGCAATAGCAGTGAAGACAGCACAGCACAGGTTTCAGCATAGTTAGTACAAGCTCTGCATGGTCCCTGGTCACTACCCTGCTCTGAAGCCTATGCTGTGCTCTCTTCACTGCTATTGTTACCCACACTAGATTCAAGCTAGCATGGGTAGGCTAATCTGCATCTTCCAAGGAAGAAACTAAACCGATACAGGACCCTGAGCCTGGAAAAAGGAGATGGGGTTGGGAGTGCCAAGCATGACTGCCCAGCATCAGTGTGTGTTAACAGACATAGAAGGGGAGACACAGAAAGAGAGAATGCTGCGAGAAGGACAGTCTGCTTGTCCAAATTCAGAGATGGAGGTAACTGGGCCAGATGAAACATACTAAAGCTTGCAAGGAAATTCTAAGGGTTAGCTATGGAGAAATATGCATAGAGACCCTTACTATTTTTACAGTTTGCTCTATGTGCTTTATACGTATAGGTGAATGATGGTTTGTTTTGAAGATGCTGTTTCTATGACACAGCAAACTTATACCCTTCAGGAACTTGCGACAGTAACTTACAGGTGCCAAAATTATTTTGGCCTGTCACATTAACATGGTTGGAGTCTGTCCTTCAGAGATTCAGTCCCAGAGGGGTTGAACTGCATGATGCTGCCCAGATTGGGGTGAAGGCAGCATGGTCTAGCCCCACAGGGATGCATGTCAGAGGGACTAAAAGGAGTCTAAAATGCAGTTTGCACTGTAACTGACACCACTTTTTACCCCCCTCCCCTCAAATAAAAGCCAGTATCAAAAATACGCTGCTCTTCTCACTTTAAAACTCAAATGGTCTTAACTGCAGGACTGCCTCCAACATATCACAGACTGATTTTTTGTTTGTTTGTTAGACAGTGAGGCGATCAACTTGAGGGAGAGGGAAAATACTTGTCCGGGGCCTGACCTAACCTGAGACTAGAACTACCATCCTAATCCTGTTGATTTTTCTTTCCTGTGATGTCTGATAGCCATCCTTCCTGAATCAGTGTCACTCGGTTGGCCGCTCTTCACGGGAAAGTGGGAGGTAAGTCATAATAAAAAAGTTAAAACTCTACCAAAACCTCGCCAGATATTCTGTGCAGGATGTGTCTGTCTTGCCCTCATCAAGAAACTCAATTCTTAGTACTATCTGCTCTAAATACCTCCTGGCTGGTTCAGACCTGCCCCATCACTCCCTACCCCATCCTCACAACTCTAGTTCTGACAATGCTCTTTGGGAGCATGGGGTAGGGTTTAGAGGAGGCATGGCATCTGGGTACTTGATGCTCTCCCTTTTTCTGTGTGACCTTGGATTAATTCTCTCTCTGTATCTCTGTTTTCCCATTTGTAAAATGGGGATGACTATTCTTACTATAACTACAGCTCACACAGTGGCTGTGAGAATCAATATTTATAAAGTGCTTTTAAATGTTTAGATGAAAGGTTCTGGACCTCCTAAACCAACATACCAAAACTAGTTCGGCTTGCCGTCCCACTTTATGATTATTAATTATTTGTATTACACTTGCACCCAGACCCCAACTAGGATTGGGACCCCAGTATGCTGCATACTGTAGCAACATAAAATAAGACCATTCTTTCCCCAGTGAGCTTACAGTATAAATGGAGGCAAGATGTGACAGGTGGGTGTGAAACACAAGGAGTTGGGTGGAGAGGGAAGATGATGGTTTTTATATTCAGTTATTTTGTCCTGTTTCTTTGTGCATCTTTAAATAAGTGGTATTTCTTCAAGTGATGGTCCCTATTGTATTCCACTGAGGCCTACGTATGCACACCATGTGCCTGGAGTCGGAGATTTTGAAATAGAAACCTGTGGCTACAGCAGAGGGAACTAGGAGGCAGTACTCCTAGATTATAAGAACCATGGTATAAGCCATACGTTCAAGAGTGGTGAGAATTTTTTATTCCCTCCATGGATATCAATATGTCACCTTCTGAAGTATGGCCTGAACAACCCTTTCTGAGATTCTAAAATGCAGTGTAAGTCCTGTACAGGTCAGATTTAGCATCACACAGAGAGATCAATTGGGCAAGAGGTAGAGGACAGAACTTTCAGTAATGCCCAAAGCTACAAAACTCCTTACTAACAGAGATCAGGCTGAGCCCAACTTGATCCATGCTTAAGACATCCTGCAAAACTCATCTCTGTATGAAGGCACATCCCAAATAATGAAGTGGTAGAAAACTCTAGCGGCACTCTCTGAGACGGTAGGGCTGAGGATTTCAGTCCTATTTTGGCCAAAATTTATCATTCATAATCTTGTAGTGGCACTTAAGTCTGGGGTATTGGGAATTTTAGAAATGCTTATAGATAACATTACACCATTGTACTTCTGTTTCACTCATGCCATTCAGAATCTCTTCCCCTCAAAACAACATGAGTCAAGGTATAAGTGTTAGAACATATTTGCAAATTTGGCGTGATTATGGTAAAAAAATCAATTACATTCAAATAGGAACATATTAATCAGCACATCATCTAGTGCAACGGCTCTCAACCTTTCCAGACAACTGTACCCCTTTCAGGAGTCTGATTTGTCTTGTGTACCCACAAATTTCACCTCACTTAAAAACTACTTGCTTACAAAGTCAGACATAAAAATACAAGTGTCACAGCACACTATGACTGAAAAATTGCGTACTTTCTCACTTTATCATATATTCATATTCTAGTTGATTTTTTATAATTATTATACTGACATTTCAGTGTATAGGATATAGAGCATATGAATAAGTCATTGCATGAAATTTTAGTTTGTACTGAATTTGCTAGTGCTTTTTATGTAGCTGGTTGTAAAACTAGGCAAATATCTTGATGAATTGATGTACCCCTGGAAAGAATGTTCAAAGCACCTTATTTGTGTTTCTATTCTGTTTAGGTCCAATAAAGAATAGAGACAACTATACATTATTTTTATTATTGAGCCTGCAAAAACAAACAAACCCTAGATAGATAGATAGATTATAATGCAAAGGCATTTACAATTATAGTTACGAGGCAGAGAGAGCAGGATGTGAATGGAAGTGAGCAGGACCTTTTCCTAACTTTTACCCATGCTATTGCTTGTTGCCCAGTGGCATTATGTTAATTTTTTCTTTTTATCTCACTACCATATTTCACTGGTTACTGAACATTTTTACTTTGTCAAATCTACCTCATATCGCTTTACCCCCTTCTTCCTGTTATCTCTGACATACTTTCCTGAGGGGAAAATATAATGTAATTCCCCAGTGCATAGATGTCTAACAGACATGTTGCTGAGGTCAGAAAGAACTGAGGTTTTGTATTATGATTGGATGCTGCTCTGTACAATTTTGGAGTATATGGGGTGCAGTCTGTGATTGAAAATGATAAATTAATGTTAGCAGTTAAAGAAGGATCTAAACTGGACATTTCCTAATTTTTAAAGATGGGTGTGGATGGATATTTCTTTTAAGCAGTTTAACAAACCTTTTCTGTGTGGGAGATTGTGCAAATAAATTATAAGGACATATTCACCTTACCTAATACTTTCTGATCTCTCATCAATGACATGCTACTGGGAAAAGGCACAACTGTTTAATGGTTACAAGTCCCAGGAGCCAATACACAATAGTGTATTGTATTACAGAAAGCACAATAATGTTATAGCAAATGTTTTTTGTACACATACTTCCACCAAAAAGACCAGCTGAAACTAATAAAATGGACATTATTTTGCAGCAGCTGGACACTTCTGGGACCATGTATTTTTTTTTAATATTTTAACTATATTCCAAGATTAATCTTAATAAAGTTGCATTTATAAATGGAGCTCCTTTCTTAACGAGATAGCCACAGTGCTGCTTTCCACTACCTACCTTGTCTTTAGCCCAAAAAATGTAAATAAAGGTTGATAAGCAATTGAAAGGAAATGGTTACAGCTACATACACAGATCTAGAAAGATATGAGGTGTAGCAGTGATTATTTTTGTTTTCTTGGCGGAGTGCAGTCCAATATTAAGTACACATGAGAGTTTTTTCCCTTAAAATTCAAGCATGAGAGTAACTTCTAAAAAGAATTACTTATACTGGAACAACATACTGACTATACCAGTAACATCTCTACCAGTATCTTACATTTCTCATGAATAAACATAATTTTGCTTCTTTGCTATTGCCTATATGATTCTATTACAAATACTTGAACACAAAAAATATATTACTCTAATTTGTTAACTTGCAATACAACTATTTTAGCTACTTTTCTTGTGTATAGATTTGTTTTGAACAGCTTTCCTGCCTGTGATTAACAACTTATGTGACTTTGCCTCCAGCTAGAATGAAATTAATGGCAAATTATTGAAAGAGTGTTGGTTATGCTTGCTGTATAAAAGTTGATTTAAAGTTACACGATTTATATAGCAATGCTTCTTTACAACGCACTATTCAAGATATGCCTGTATTCAGTGGTGGTTGTGGATGATGCAAAAGTAACTATAGGGCAATGTGACTGAAAGGAACATGCTGCGCAGGAAGAGGGTATTGTTTTAACCTCACTGGTACTCGGTGTTTATCAATGTCAAAAAAAACAGGAGTACTTGTGGCACCTTAGAGACTAACAAATTTATTAGAGCATAAACTTTCGTGGGCTACAGCTCACTTGGGGTTACAGCTTATGCTCTAATAAATTTGTTAGTCTCTAAGATGCCACAAGAACTCCTGTTTTTTTTGCGGATACAGACTAACACGGCTGCTACTCTGAAACCTATCAATGTCAAGTTACTATCAGCTCAGGCCCTTGTGCTCTTTATCACTCTACCCCACTACCTTTACCAGTGTGATACATTCATTCCCTTGCTGCCCGTGTGCACTATATTCAATCACACTCAGAAGAGCAGGGGGTAGTTTTACAGCCACAGCAAGGTGGCTGAGGTGGAGGAGCAGAGTGCTCCACTGCGGTAGGCGCTCCAAGACGCAATTCTGGTTGATGCAACATGGTCCAGCAGTAGCGCTGGCACTACGGGCGAGGGGGACAGCAGGGCGCCCCCTACTACACGCATCTCAAAGGACGTAGCTGTGCAAAGGCGAGGGTCTGGCGGGACAGCGGCTTGTGCTAGCGCTGCTCCGTTAGGGCTGCTTTGCAAAGGCGGGAGGGAGGGGGCTCCAGTGTGGGTGTGGGGTTATTATGGGAGCGACGGGCACGCAGCGCAAGCCAATAACTCAGTGCGGCCAGGCAGAGGGAGGCGGTGGCTAGCCGAGCTGTGCCCCCCCTCGCCCCCGGAGCTGGGCTGTGCTCGTGGGTGACTCGGCGCCTGCCGCGCTCGGCACTGTATATAAGGCGGGAGTCAGCGAGTGCCGGGCGCGCAGCACGAGGGCCGGGGCTGAGCAAGGCGCGCGGCGAAGCGGTGTGTAACCGTCTAGCAGGCGGGTGTTAGGGCGGGATGGGGCTGACGCTGAGGCTGCGGGTGCTGTGCGCGGGGCTGCTGTTAGCGGGGCTGCCGGCGGAGCTGGGCGCGCAGAGCGCCCCCGATGCAGCAGCGGTGCCCCGGGGCGGGCCGGGCGGCGAGTACGGGGTGAAGCTGTGCGGCCGGGAGTTCATCCGCGCCGTGATCTTCACCTGCGGCGGGTCCCGCTGGAAGCGATTGGCCCTGCAGGCGGGGGAGCCGCTGCCTGGCGCTGGTGAGTGACCGGGAGCGCGGGGGCTGGACCGGGCAGTGCCGGGGCGGGGGAGGACGGCGTGCGCCCCCTGTCGCCCCCGTCCGGCTGCAAACGGAGGGGCTGGCACGAGCGGGGCACTGCGCTGGGACCCGCTCCCCCTGGAGCCCGGCTCGAGGTGGGGGAGCGGACCGGGCTGGCGTCCGTCGTGGTGGTGGCGAGGTGTCCATCGTCCGGCTGGGGCTGGGCGGGGGATGCTGATTGGACGGGGCAGAGTTAGGCGCTATCTCGGCTTTTCAGGCTTTTGAAAGCGAGAAACTACGTCGGCGCCCTTCCCCCCTTTTCCTCTGCCCGGCTACGGACGATGTCTCTGCCCCTCGTTCTGGGGGAGCCTGGTGCTCCTGCTGCGCCCCTTGGCCCGGGGACCAGCGGAACCCGACCCGTACGCGCGACGAAGGTTAAGACACTAACCTGGGCCGTGGCAGTCCCTGCTCCCGCGCAGCCTTCGTGCGGGACCTCGGCGAGTCCCTGTGCGCCTCGGTTCCCGCTCCCTTAACTGCGGCCATTCGCGCACGGGGCTGCCCCGGGGTAACGTCATTAACATCCGCGTGTGCTCAGGTGCTACCCTAATGGACGCCATACAAGTACCTAAGAGGGAGAGATACCTTGTTAGTCCATTTAACAGCTAGGCTCCGGCCACCGGCGAAAGTGGCACGGTTCTCAATAAGTTTCGCTGCTACTCGTAGGCAAGGGCAGAGAGAACTGATCTTTCTGCCCAAGAAGGTTGGCTGACTTTCAAGCAACACCCTGGGGAAACAAAGGGCTGCTGTACACCTACAACTTAGGTTGACCTAGCTCTGTTGCTCAAAGGGGCAAAAAATTCACACCCTCACGGGATGTAGTGAAGCCTATCTTAGCCCTGCTATGGACACTGCTATGCTGACAGAATTCTTCTGTTGACCTAGTTTCTGCCTTTCCGAGGGCAGTGGGGTCAGGCTTCAGCCCTTTGGTGGCAGGTTCCAGCCACGGGGCTCTAGGCTCTGTCCCTGGGCCCTGTCCCCTGGCATGGGACTTCAGGCTCAGTTCCCTGACTGCATGGTGACACGCTCTAGGCCCAAGCTCCCTCCCCCCCATCACTTCTGGCCCTCTGCCACCTCCTTCAGTGCCCCATCGCCCCTAGTGCCTCTGTACCCACCTCCCCATCCAGGGCTTAATTTGTCCCCAGGCTTGCCAGGGCTGAGTTAATCTGCGGTGGAAAGTGATAGTTGTACGTTTGTTAGTATCACCTTTCACAGCACACAGAGGAGATAGCAAGTCTTAAAAAAGGGAAAAGAAAAAAGAACATTCAAAGCACCTTATTTGTTTCTCTATGCTGTTTAGGTACAATAAAGAAGAGACAACTGTACATTATTTTTATTATTGAGCCTGCAAAAAAAAATCTAGATAGGTAGATTACAATGATTTGGACGTGTATATATGCATATTTATTTGTTTTTCCTAACGTTAAGTATTTTAGGGAAAATTGTCAGAGGGGCCATCAGCAATAGTTGATGGCCGCACTCTGAGGCCACCAAAAATTTTTGAGAACCTGTGTCATAAAAGGTGTATTTGCTTGAACAACAGTGGAAGTGTTTAATCTTTAAGTCATGTTAAAATGATTCCTATTGTGTAATCAGAAGTCAGAAATAACAACTGACTCTAAAGCACTTCCTAAGACTTCTGGATTAGTCAACCTGTACTGAATTTATTGTTAGTGTTTAGGAATTTTAACAACTAACTGTTGAACGAAGTACACATTAATGGCCATGTCTCTGTAGTCACATTATTTCCTGTTTTTTTATTTTATTGTATTATAGCAGTACCCAGAACCCCCATACATGGATCAAAATCCCATTGTGCAAGGCACTGCAGAAACATAACTCAAAGACTGTCCCTACTCCTAAAGAGTTTACAATGTAGCTTTTTGATTATTAATCCAGCTAAGAGATTGTCCTGCATACAGAAAAACGGTTATAGTTCATAACTATTCATCAGTTTGCTGCACACACAAAGGCATTGTTTCTGATACTTAGTTTGTACATGTATATCACATAATTGATAAACCACATTTAAAGCATTGTTTTAACAATGAAAAAAACCTATTACCATAATATTTGCCACAGATGTACTAATCAGGGTGTGCTATCTTTGGCCACTGATTATTCTGACAGCCTGGTTTTACCAAGTGCCTATTGGAGCATGAAATACACTTTCTGAGCTGAAAAAACAAATAACATTACTCCACTGTCTTGGGGTCTTCCCACACTTATTGCAGCATTCCGCATGTCACAAATAGAGAAGTTCCTTTTTCTGTCTAAAAAATGTAACACTGCTGACTTAACTGAAGTGAAAGGTATAAGAGTAACAGGGTGAAATTGCTTGTTTTGGGAGGGCTGTTGAGTAGGGAGAGATGACTAGTAGTAGACTCAGAGACTTGAAGACTACTTTGTGGAGCTGAGAATTGGAAAGTGATCCCTTCTTTCAGTAGCACATTCTAGAACAAGTTATATTTGGCCCCATTCTTATTCAGCAGGATGTAATTAACTCTTATGGACTTCAACAGGGGTTACTGTGTTTTGTGGTGAGAGAACTTGGGTGTAAATCCACAAAGGGACTTGTGTGGTGCAAGGCTGAATATTGCAATGCTTAACTTTTTAGGCACTTAGCTATCCCGTGGAATCCTCAGACCCGGAGTTCAAGGCCGCCCAGAGGATTCAGGGGCCCTGGGGCAAAGCAGGGGAGCTGTGGCGCTTGTACTCACCCGGTGGCGGTCCGGGTCTTCGGCGGCATTTTGGCGGTGGGAGGCCCTTCAGTCACTCCGCGTCTTCGGCAGCACTGAAGGGCCCCCCACCACCGAAGACCTGGAGCAACTGAAGGGCCCCCACATTGCTGAAATGCCGCCAAAGACCCGGACCGCTGCTGGGCCAGGGCTCGCGGGGCATTTCAGTGGCGGGGGGGCCCTTCAGTTGCTCCACGTCTTCGGCAGCACTGAAGGGCCCCCCACCGCCGAAGACCCGGTTCGCCGCGGGGCCCAGGGCAAATTGCCCCACTTGTCCCCCCCTCTGGGCGGCCCTGCCGGAGTTAAGACATCTAGGTTCTGTATACAATGCATGGAAAGAGTTTCACACCTGGGAATGGGATTCACAAAAAACAGCAGAGTGGTGGTGGGGAGCTGAAGAGTAGGGTGTGTCTGAAGCACCACCTCTTTCAAGGCGTTAGATGCCCAAGGTTGAGCTAGAGGAAGGCACTTAAGGTCCGCAGCCAGAAACCTTGTTCTGATATCAGGCACCTAATCTGTTTCTCGCAAGGACAGTGGCAGTGCACATCTAACTCCACACACAACGGTTGGGGGTGGAGGGTGAGAGAAATAGGCCAATTCCCTTATAACCTTTAGCCCAGTGGTGAGGGCACCCTCCCAGATGTGATAGTTCCTGATTCTCCCTGAAGAGGAGGGATTTGGATGGGGGTTTCTCACCTTTTACGGGAGTGCCCTGACTAGTGGGGTCTGGAATAATCTGCTGTGGCGCTCTGTCAAGTTTTCCTATTGAAGCTATTTAATTTTGTATAAATAATTAAATATTGGACCAAAGAGAGTGAGAATGGCTCAGTAGTCCATTGGTGAGGGTACTCATCTGAGATGTGGTGAGTGCCCTCACCACCGGACTAAAGCGTGAGGCACATCTACACTGCTTGCCCCTGATCTCCCCACTGTGTGTGTAGAGTTAGGTGTGCTTTGAGAACACTTACCTGATTGGGCCCTGCAGGTGAGATAGGCAAAGGACCCCACTGGGATTTAGGCATGAGATTGAGATGTGCACCTATCCAGAGGCAGAAACCATGGGGACTTTTACAGTCACTTCCAGAATTGGTGACACCTGAGCAGGCGTTGTGAGGATCTCAATGGTGCCTAAATTTTGGAGCTAGGTGCTTGAGTCCTTTTGAGGAACTGGACCTTGGTCCCTGTATAGTTACTCATTTCATCTTTTCTATTCCAGGTATGATAGCTTCCTCAAATTTGAATGCTATATTATTTGGTTACTTAGAGCTGGTCTTCATGAACATTTAGTTCACAGCAAGCTGGGGTGTGAATCTGCCACGGACTAACTATCCAGGTGGACCCTGATGCCATTCATTTCAAAGAGTCAGCAGGGTCCACATGGACACTTAGTTTATAGCAGGCTAGTAGGGGGAAGATTTACATCGTAGCTTGCTGCAAACTAAATATTTGTGTAGACAAGCACTTATATGGATTAAGGATTGTATATTTTGTTTAGGTAAAATTCCTTTATCAAAATATATAATACAAAATAGATCAATATTTACAGCACAAAGTTAAAAAGATGTTCTGCAACACTAATAAGCTCCCCATTACTGTATACACTAGATCATATACAGGTATTTAAATGGATGGAGGAGGCTAGACTTGCTCTTCTATTTATTGGGTTAACCTTGAAAGATCTTTTTAAAGAAAATTGTCATGTAAAAGGGATTAATTGTAAATACTGATTGAATAACAAAATTATAGCTCGAAAAGATTTCCTTTGGAGTAATGCAACTTAAAGAATATTTTATTTACGCTAGCCATTAAACTGTTACTGTAAAAATCAGTTCAAGACACCTACGTACTCTGAACTATAACCAGCATCATTAAAACAAGTGCTTAAGCAAATACTGAAATTTCTAATAAACTGGGGTGAAAGAGCAGCTCTGCAAATGTGTGCTTGCAACTATAAGAGCAGTTCCTTGTAAGAAAGTTGTACAGACTTAGGGCAGTCAATGCAATCCTCAAGCATCTGAAAGTTCCTTCTTGATAGTAAGCACCTAATTTATGCTGCTGTATTTGAAGTACTCAATATGTTTTTCCTATTTATCTGAGCAGCAGGGTAGAAATGGACATGTACTCTTGTAATAGCTGGATGGCTCAGGAAAATCAGATAATTTGATTTATCCTTGTGTTCTGAAATATAATCCATCAGAAACAGATCAAATCAAAGGAAAAGGTACTTTTTTTAAAAAAGGTGACAGCAGTACATGTACTAAGGCCATCTAGGAACCTTACACCTATAACTGTTTTATTTTCCTCATAGTCTCCTGCTTTGACCTCTCTCTTAGCTAGAGGCACAGCTATGCTTTCAACAGGTGGGCTAAGCTAACTCTGATAGATTGCATGAAACAGGTGGTTGCCTTGCTTTGTTCTTTTAGCCACCCACAGAAGTTCCCAAATTGTGGCCTGCACAAAGTTGGTGTGTAACTAAGCTGCTAGCCTTCCTTCTTTCCAGTTGAGAGAAACAGAGCAGATGGGAGGGAGAGATTGAAGAGCCAAAGCATTAGCTGAAAACATATAAATACTTTCCTAACATTACCTTATGTAAGCAACTGGTAGTGTCTGCAAATAAGGGACAGTGGTTCATGCAATCAAGAATAGTAGTCAATAAGAATTGAAAAGGTGGTCCACACAGTAGGAAGCTTACAAACCTCTAGGATAGTGCTTCTACATAGCAACATTGTTTGATAGTAATTTTGACATTTATACTCATCACACCTTACAATCATAGATGTATCAGTATGTTCTGTGTCTCCTAAAGCACCTGCCATGTTGCTTAGCGCAGTTAGGGAATGTTGAGTAACTAAATGAGTTTGGAATGGATTTGGAGGACAAACGCAAATAGGATGCTTGTGGATTCTTCTCCACAACTGAGGGAATCTACTTGCACACAAGATCAGATAGAAAGCTGTTCAATCTTGCAAGACTCAGAACTAAAACCAAGGCTCAGGAGGCCCTTATTTGACACCGCCTCTTTGCTGATGATGCAGCAGTGACAAGCCACACAGAAGCTAATCTCCAAAACCTTATGGACAGTTTTTCCAAAGCCTGCCAAGACTTACCCTAAGCCTAAAAAAGACAAACAATGTGCCATTATGGAGTTGAGGAAGCACCCTCCATCAAGATCAACAACTCTAAACTTGAAGTGGTGAATGAGTTCACATACCTGGGGTCCACTATCACAGTCAGCTTTTCACTTGAACCGGAATTCAATATCTGCACTGGAAAAGGTGCCACAACAACGTCTAGACTGGTGGTTCTCAAACTTTTGTACCGGTGACCCCTTTCACATAGCAAGCCTCTGAGTGCGACCCCCTGATAAATATATTTTAAAAAGTGTTTTTAATTTAACACCATTATAAATGCTGGATGCAAAGTGGGGATTGGGGTGGAGGCTGACAGCTCGTGACCCCCCCTCCCCGATGTAATAACCTCGTGACCCTCTGAGGGGTCCCAACCCCCCAGTTTGAGAACCTCTGGTCTAGACTGAGCAAGAGAGTATGTCAAAACAACAAACTGTTAGAACACACAGATCTTTGTGTGTTCTATCATGCATGTGTTATCAGCACACTTTTGTATGGGAGTGAGACATGGACCTTATACTCTCATCAGGAAAAGAGGCTCAACAGCTTTCAGATATGTTGCCTTCATCAAATCTTGGGCATTTCTTCGAGGGACAGAGTCAACAACACTGAGGTGCTCAAGCAGGCCAGCATACCCAGCATGCAAACACTCCTCAAACAGAGATGCCTCTGCTGGCTTGGGCATGTGTGCCAAATGAATGATGGGCGTAACCCAAAGAACATCCTCTATGGCGAATTGGCATCTGGAAAAATACCCAAAGAACGCCCAAAATTGTGTTTCAAGGATGTGTTCAAGTGAGAGCTCGAAGAAATGGATGTGGACAAATGGCAAGATCACACTCAAGACCACAGCCTTTGGAAACAAGAGCGTAAGAAAGGTCTCCGGAGTTACGAGAGGAAGCCGTCCAGCTTGGCAAAGGAGAAAAGAGCTTGCAGAAGGCAGAGCCCAAAGGGTCGAAACATCACTTTTAAATGTGACAGATGCAGCAGAGATTGTCTCTCTCAAATGGGTCTCTTCAGCCACAGCTGCGGCTGCCATAAAACCAACTAAGTAAATTCTTTACCTCTCCGGATGGATACCCATGGTCCTCTCAGGACTGAAGGATACCTACTACTGTAGGTCATAAAAGTGTTCCGGAGGGCACCTACTCAGTTGGACCATTGTTAAAGACCTCATCCCAGATGTTGCAAATAAACTCTGGTACAACAAATTCTTGTAACCACGACTCAGTGCTTCTGTGGGGATACAAAGTATTGTACTTGCGTTGCAAGTTCAAGACAGTCCAATTAACTACCCAACACACACTTTGCTATAATAGATGATCCAGGCATAGGGTTAAGAGCACAGCTGTGGACCATCACCTTCTCTCAGCCAGTCAATCCCTAGGATAGCTTTTCTCAAACTGGGGTCCACGAGGGTACTCCAGGGGGTCCGTGGGTCCTGCTGATCAACTCAACTCTTTCCCCCTCCGTTTCAGCGCCTCGTGCACACCAAGGAACAGCTATTCAGCAGCATGTAGGAGGTGCTAGGAGGAGGGGGGAGCACTCAGGGGAGAGGGTGGAATCATGTCTGGGGCCACTAGTCCAGCTGATAAACTCCCCCCCCCTCCCTCCCAGAGCTTTCTGTAGGCTGGGGAACAGCTGTTTAGTGGTGTGCAGGAGGCACTGGGAGGGAGAGGGGGGAGTGGGGATGGGGTGGAAAGAGGCATGGAAGAGGAGGGGGAAGGGTGCAGTGGGAGTAGGAAGAGGTGTGGCAGGGGTGGGGACTTGGGAAGGGGTGACGTGAGGGTGGGGCCTGGGGCTGAGTGGTGGGTTTGGGGGTCCATGAAAATTTTTAAATCAAAATGGGGGTCCTTGGATGGCTAAAGTTTGAGAACTGTTGTGCTAGGAAATTGCCTGCATCTCATAGCTGCTTAATTACTCTTTATAGATTAATAGCACACAGGTGGTGACTTCCCACCTAAAACTGCATGTAAACTGCATGGTGTCCTTGTGGAAAAAGGATGCCTTGTTAAGTGTGTCGCTTACAGCAGCCACACTGTTGTAGTTATGCTAAGTACATGTTTATTACAAAACTAGCCTGTTTAAAACAATAGTTAAATAAAAACAACCCTATCAGCCAGAGTAGTGGGAGTGCTGTTCTTGTTGTCTTGTGTTTAGGTAATGATTAAGGCTACGTTTTAGACACGGGTATTTTTAGTAAAAATCATGGACAGGTCACGGGCAGTAAACAAAAATTCACGGCATGACTTGTACTATACCCCTGACAATCTTGGGAGTGTTATGGCTGTACGGGGAGAGGGTACCGTGGGTGCTGCAGGGAGGGGGGGCTGGCAAGCTCTCTATCCGGCTTCTTGGAAGCGGTGACATATCCCTCCATAAGCTCCTAGCTTCGCATGCTGCCAGCTCTGCAGCTCCCATTGGCCGGGAACCGCTGCCAATGGGAGCTGCGGGGCAGTGCCCAGGGGTGGAGGTAGGAGCTGAGGGAGGGACATGTTGCTGCTTCTGGGGAGCCCCCCCCCCGCTGCAGCTAAGTGCTGCCTAGAACCCTCACCCCCTTCCATGTGTCAACCCCCTGGGTCCCTCCCACACCCCAACTCCTGCTGCTGCTTGGGGTGGGGCAGCAGTGGCTGGAGACTGCCCCAGTAGTGGCCGGTGCAACTAGCCCAGGGGCTGCCTGAGCAGGGGATTCCGTGACTTCTGTGATCTCCATGATAAACTCGCAGCCTTAATAATGATTCCTTTATTATTAGCTGAATGATTTTGATGCAACTTCTAACCATGACCTTTAAGAACACTGTAATTACCCCTAATAACTTTGGAATTAAAAAAAAACCCTTTATTTTTATTTTAACAGATTCTGCTCAAGCCACCAGTAACAAAGAACTGGAGAACTTGAAGTTGCAGTCATTCGTAGGTCCTGGAGTGGAGCAGCTGCAGAGAGCCAGTGTACCACTTGGACAGCTGACATTGAAGGATTTGTTTAGTTTATATGATTATAACGAGTACGTACCCATGTCAGATGACTTCAGTGAATATGTTCGCCAGGTTGAGGATGCTGCCTGGAAGAACAGAGGTGGAACAGGGCTTGCCAATCCCATGGGGTCAAACAGTTTTCCTTGGGTCAAGTATCCTAGAAGAAAACGAGACTTCTCAATGGGGGTGGCAGGAGTGTGCTGCAAATGGGGCTGTACCAAAGCTGAGATCAGTACACTATGCTGAGATTAAAATTGTGTTTCTGTATTTATTTTAGACATATGAACTCAATGTTAGTTGCAGTGATGCCTGATCAAGTACTGCATGTAGGGAGCAAAACAGTCTCAATAACATGGCAATTTTGTCTGCAAGCAGCTGTATATGTTACTGTTTTTTCTCTAAAAACTCATTTATGGTAATTAGAACTTTGTTTTGCTGCAGTAACCTTTGCTCTGTGTTAGTAAACCTTTACTTTCTGTGTTTTAAGGCTTTGTCTTTAAAATTATAAGATGACTTTCACACCACCTCTTTGTAACACTTCAGGGAGAAACCTCAATGGTAATTAAAGTATGTTACACTATATAAATGCTATAGAGTTGTTTTTCCCCTTCCATTGGAAACAATACCTAGAGAATCCATTAAAGAGCTGAGACTGACCAATTCTAGCTGAAAGGGTGTGCTGTAACTTGAAACTCAAATAAAACCAAGTTGGCTGTTGCACCACTTAATGGAAGACCATAAAGTATAACTGGCTTCTATGCCTCACTAACAGAAGTTAGTAAGAGGATCTAGTACAACATTCAGACCATCTCCGTCCAATTACAGAATTATTTCCTAAATACCACATTTTAAAACAAAATTTTCCTCATTCAGCTTAAACTTTCCTTTGACTTCTTTCCTACTTGTATATCTCTGTACTGCCCTGAATAATTAATCTCTGGTTGAAGAATTGACACAAGATAAACCTAGATTCCTTGAGATGTTATCTATTCCTCACTTGTTATTTAGCCAAGCTGTTCGATATTTAGCACCCTTAATCTATTTATACTTATTCTGTGAACGCCTTCCAATTTATCTACATTTCTAGAATACTGTATTCAATTGTGTGCAATATTCCAGATGTACTGTTGAATTACTAACTACTGTTTCATTTGTCTTCCACTGTTACTTTCCTCTTAATGGTCGTGGTGTCCAGATTTTTTTCTTTATCCTCTTCAGATATACTAACTTACTTTCTTCTAATATTTGTAACCATTGGAGGTCCCTCTGAATTCTGGTATTTACAATGCATCTTCACTTATTGTAACTTTGAAATTAGTGTTATAAACCTCCTACTTCGAGACTAGTGAAAATGGCAGTGAGTAGTTGCCACTGTAAGTACCAGACCTAACACCAATTGCTGTAGCACTACACTTATTGAAGACTATTTATGATGACTGTTTGTTTAGTCTTTCAGCTAGTTAACAATCCATGTACATTGAACAATTAAATTTGATAATTTAAACAAATGCTTCACTAAATCAATAGTATATCTCCTACGTTCCCTCCATCCTCAAATTTTGTAGTTATTCCCATCAATTAGATTTTACTGATAGAGTGAAAACTCCACAGTATTTTAAAAAGAGGATGGGTAAAACAGCTGTTAAATGTGGATATTATCATCCTTTAGCTTTCATAACATTTACATTTCAATGGGATGGCAATTTATAGCACTAACTGTTAAATATGCTTTTCTTCTACTATACATAGCTGCAGTGAATGAGAGGTGCTCTAGGAAGGGTAACTGAGTGATAGTGTTGTGTGTTCACTGTAGCTCCCACTGCCTGTTAAGGGTGCATATTTTTTTTCCCATTCTAAACCCTGTTTCCTGTCACTCAATTAATTTTTCAAGTTTCGAGCTGAGTTTTTCTAGACTTAGCATCTAATAAAGGAGAAGGGGTAGAGTTTGAGGAGAAACGCCTCCCTTAATTTTGATTGGGAGCAAGGGGGGAAGGAGGGAGAAAATTCTTCCTCAATTTCACACTTAGCAGTTCTACTGCAGAAACAGCTATAGCAGAGAGCTGAAATTTGACAAGAAATTTGGTACAGGCTATTCTCTATAAGTGCTTTGAGAAAAATTATTCTAGTTTGATTAAATTATGATCATTTGAAAATTGCTCTGTATGTACCATCCATCTTGACAGAACATTTTCTCTGCTAAACTTGTAAAGAGAAAAACTGAGGAAAAGCTGCACTCTATATATCTACAAACAAGCAGAGTAAGTGACATACCTGTTCCTTGTTCCAGAACTGCCTTTCAGGTTTGTTGGTGCACATCCACCTAGGCACACAGGTGAGCTACCTTTCCTCTTTCTGCCAGCTCCTGCATCTCATGGTGTAAAGGTGTAATTCAGGTGGGCTAAGCTAACTCTTGGACCAAACCATTGGAATTTTCTGTTTGAACTTTCTTAACATTCAGGGTTGCAGACAGCCATATACATTAACATGATAGCCAGTGAAGATATGAAAAATAAAAGGAAATCTGTCTCACGATGAAATTTACCATAAGCATTAAGTGGAAAGAGACTTCCCAACACAAGCAAGGAATATTTACGGCTTAACCAAGGCAGGAGGTGCTGCAGTTTATCTTTCACTATTATCCTGGCACTTTGTGAATAGTCTTTGAAGGGTGAAAGTAAACCAACTGTAATGTAAGTACTGAATTGATTAAAATTCACTCACAAATTAATGAATACTATACATTATTGAATTTATCCTTTCCATGCACACACATTTGTTACAAGAGTGTGAGGCATTCTTACCAGGGTTCTCTCAGGATCAAGGATGACTAAGATACTGAGTATAATTCTACTTCACCTTTGTTTAAAACAATCTGTTAAGCAACTGATTTTTGTTGGGTTAGTTGAATGGTTGTTTAGACATGTTTCACTACAGATACATATTTACAAGTGATTGGGAATAGGTTACACACAGACAAGTCATTAAAGCTGAAGTGTTACGGTATTTTCCTCTTGAACATTTAACTTAAAATTGTAAATACATATTGAACGTTTAAAAAAAAACATGTCTGAAAGCCAGGAACTCAAAAGCAACTCTACACAAAAACACCACAAGTCAGATATTGAAAAGTGTGGAAATGCAGAGTTTGGAATAACCTAATCACTAACTCTTTGTCACTGGACAGTAGAGTAGTAATAACTTCATTTTCATATACACCAATTCAGAATTACAGGAAATCTTATAATAAAAAATATTGAAGTAATTCAAATCAAAATGTTTCAGATTAGAGTCCATTCTCTGCTTATTTTAACAGCCTGACCATGTCCCTTTAAAATTTTAGAACTAACATTCTGGTACTCCGACATACCAATTCTTATTGGGGTTTGTCATCTCCTACCATCTTACTTATCAATGTAAGAACAACTAAAGATAATTTCTTTATGCTATTACCACATTAGATGATTAAAATAGAATTTTTAAAATTAAGGTCAAGATTTAAAAAAGGTAACTTAAGGGGTTAGAAGCGTAATTGTAGGTAGCCTGAGAGGCTGGGTGTTGAACACATTTGAAAGGCGAGCAAATAAGGTCTTGATTCAGGACAGCACATAAGCACACAGTTAACTTTAAGCACACGCTTAAGCACCTTTCCTGAATAGAGATGCTTTCTTGAAGTTGAAGTTTAGGCACACACATTTGAAAATCTTGGCAGCAATGTACTATTTTGTTACAGCATTTAGTTACTTTATACATTTCTTTGATCTTGGACAATTAAAATACTCAAATTTCATGTCTGTGTTCCGTTTTCTAGTCCATTTAACATTCAGGTTCTCATGTACTTGCAAAGTTGCTACAGTGCTTGGAATCCAAACACTGCAAGAAAATATTTATTTAAAACAAGCACTTTAATGGAAACATTTCTAAAGCTTGTGTTACAAAAGCTAAGTTTGGATCCAATATCTGAATATTCCTTTAATATCACTTTGTCTTGGCAGTTAGTTCACTTAGGCCTCATGTTGATCCTCTGCACAGAACTGAATTTCACCTTATGCAATCTATTTTGAGAATTCATGCATCTTCAAGTCTTGTCAGGCCATATATGCAACAAGGGAGAATTTATATTTAAGGCAGGGAATATAAAAGTTGAAGTAACTACATTAGCAAAGAAAAAAATATTTCAAATGGTATGGCATGCTCAGTGCACATAATTAGTTTGCATACGCTACTTTACCTTAAATCACCGTACACTTTAAAGTAACTTTTTCAATTAGTATTTGTCCCAGTATGCCACCTCGTGGCTGGGGTTGGCACTGTGGGTGAACCCCACCTAATTTCCCCCTAACTGGGACAACATACATTCTCTACATACATTCTGGGCCAGGGAGCCAAAAGAAACAAACACATTTAAAAATAAGTATCTCATGGAAGGAAATTTTGTAACAAACAGTTCCAGAAGCCCTTACCTCAGGACCCGATTTACAAGCTCCTCGACTCAAAAGTCTCTGAGCCAAGCCTGCTCAGGATAGTCTTCTGGAACCTGGGACAGAGATCACCACCCATTTGCAAGCTGAATGGCTTCTAATTCCCCACTCTTTTGCTCAACTTCCTGTTTTTGTTTAAATAGATCAATCCTAGGGCAGAGGAGGGAGCTTCCTTGATTATACTCAGGCTGTTCTGATTGTGAGCTCCTGGGCTGACCACTACAGTAGTAGTTCACTCCTTCCTTTCCTACCTTAGTTCCTCCTGTGCTGCTGACACAAATGGTAGTCCAGCTCCTCCACTGATTACAGGTGCTTGCTAGTTGTGGTACTTCATCCCAGCTGATGCCCGCACATTCAATATCCTCTGTCACTGTCTTCTACCAATTCTTCCTTGGCCATCCGTGCTTTCTCTTTCCTCCCTCAGGTATCCAATTCAGCGCTTGCTTAGCATGTCTCCCATCTTCCAGACTATGTACATGTCCCAACTACCTGAGCCTTCTTTCTTTGAAGATATTTTCTAGCATGTCCTGCTGCCAGCTCCCTTACTCTCACATTTGTTTTGTCTTTCCATGAAATGTGTAATATCCTCCTCAGCTGTCTGATAGGAGTCTCCAATCTCTTTTTGGCCTCTGTCATCATGCACACCCCTTCTCAATACTTTGACATCTAATTTTGATTGCCAAACACTATCTCATGTCTCTGATCCTGCTCTCAGGTAAACTTTATGTATTTTTTCTCCTTTTCACATTCCATCATAGCCGTACTGGCTCAAATAAATACTTAGGATACTTCTTATCTTCCCCTACAGTTATCAAGGGTAGTTGGTGGGAGGAGGTTGTTATAAAGCTATATGCAAAAACTAGAAGAAACTGATTTTTTTAAAATCATTTTAATACTTTTTGAAATATGTTGGTACAGTTATATTCATAGGGATATACAGTAATTGGTGTCTGAAAACTATGGAAGCGTTTCTTAGATACTGTGATTTGTCCAAACTCTCATTAGCTGCTAATTTCTCTGTTTTCTGATTAGGTCATAGCTTTATGAAAATTCATTCCTGTTGCTTATTACATGGACTGTTGGAACATGCTTAAGAATGAATTT